CCCCCCATTCTAATTCCCTGGGGCCCCCTCCTCCCTTTTCGCCTCCCTGCTCAGGGGACGTCACTCCCCTGGCAGCGGAGGGACTGGAGGCTGGATTCTAGAGGGGCAAGGCGAGGGCAGATCCTATGAAGAAACAGTGAGGGGAGGCGTAAGAAAGTTCTGATCTGCTCAGTGTACATGCCAGCGTATGAAATAGAGTTACAGCTGAGTTTCCAGGCAGCACTTCATGGGAGCAGTGGATCTTATTCGACTTTACCTGCGCTTCACATGCAGCTGATCTGCTCTGCAAACTGGAAAAACGCACTGACACTTCTGACAGGCTTTTTTGTCCCTGTTCAGTGTCTAAACCTCAACTTGTCAAATCCACACAGGTATGCACATGTCTTTAGTGAAATAATGTTTATGTTTTTATTTAGAATAACTAATTCTATAATTTAACAAACTTCTGCAGTAGCTGTTATTTTGTTCTGATCATGCAGGTCTTGTTAGAGTAATAGATGTTGATGTTAAATATAAAACATGCATTATATGTATGTATTTATGTATGTAAGAAATCCCTTTGGGTATCTGGAACCTATTAGGACGTATGCATGTAGGCCAAAGAGAGGGGGAAATACTGATGCATCTCATGCAATGTGTATTGTCAGTTTCAAAACCTAAAGTGTCATACTTTTTCATTCACTGTATTCTATAAAGGGACGCTGTACAGCCCTCATTGTAATGCTAATGAGCTGTCGCAGCCATAACTCATCTCCACCACACTTTTAAATGGAGGTCAATGCATATTTTGGATGGCTGTCAGTGTTAATTAACAGTACAGAAAATCAGAATTTTGGTTCCAAGAAGAAGCTTCAACATCAAAAGCGAGCTATTCACTGGGCATATTTCATTCTTCATTTATCTTATTGTATTCATGCAGGCAGGATCCCCAGCAATATGCATAATGAAAAGAGAAACAATGAATACAAAGAGGACTGCAGTTCATCTTATTATGTTTTATTATTATGTAATTAGCAAAGCGAGATACTGGAATGTCTGTATGGTGTTACAATGGTGCATCAATGGTCCCTTTTTGAATGCAGTTCTTTGACAACTTAGATCTGCACCGTAACCCCAAACAATAGATTTAAATGGAACACCATTACTGTTTAAACTTTACCACGATGTAGCACTTGGCAGCATTCCTAAAATGCACGTCATAGTTTGTAGACTTAACATCTGTCTCAATAGTTCTAAAGCAATCCCAACTTTTACTCAACATGTTATGCAACCTTTCAGCCTTTGTTTGCAAGAGAACACTTTCTATGAGCTGCAAATGCAAAGCAGGTGGAGCTCAAGCCCTCACACCTGACCTTTGGTTTCACGGATTGTGTTCCTTCTATTGAATGTGCAAGTATTGATGATAAAGAATATTAGTGATGATTGGGTGAGATCAAACAGTTTCTTCTCATATTCTGCACAGTTTGAATTATATTAATCTTGAAATGTTTGGCTAGAAGTAAAGCGTTGTTATGCCAGACCTCGGTTTCACAGGTATTTTCAATCTTTTCTTCTCTCTTTCCATCTGTCAGCAGGTGTCAACATGCTGGAGCAGGTTCTGTCGTTCAGCCGCTCCCTGGTGCGCAGGAAAGTGGTTGACATGAACAACCTGGAGGACTCCAAGTTGTGCCGCTGCCTAGGAACCGTCGACCTCATCGCCCTGGGAGTTGGCAGCACTCTGGGCGCCGGTGTCTACATCCTGGCCGGAGAGGTGGCCAAAGGCGACTCTGGCCCCAGTATAGTGATCTCCTTCCTAATCGCTGCATTAGCGTCCGTTATGGCCGGTCTGTGTTACGCTGAGTTCGGTGCGCGCGTCCCCAAAACCGGCTCTGCTTACCTTTATAGCTACGTGACTGTTGGAGAGATCTGGGCCTTCATCACTGGGTGGAACCTCATCCTCTCCTATGTGATTGGTAAGTTCGTAGCAGTCTTTGGGTCCAATGAACTTCAAGATGGTGCTGATAATTTTTTGTCTTCTTACAGGTACCTCCTCAGTTGCCAGGGCTTGGAGTGGCACATTTGATGACATGATAGGAGGCCACATCGAGGTTTTCTGTAAGACGTACTTCAGCATGAACTCTCCTGGTCTGGCTCAGTACCCGGACTTCTTTGCCGTCTGCCTGATACTGCTGCTTTCTGGTGAGGCAGCAAATAAAGCCTTGAAATCCAAATATTCTGATATGTTGCTACAGAGGCTACTGAGAAAAGACAAATTAAGATTTCTACATTTTGTTCAACACAGACAACTCTCATGAGCTATCATAATCCAATTAAGGGATGGCAGGACACTTTTTGCTTAACAGGTTAAAGCAATGTGAGTCCACTAGGACACAACATTCAACCCCTTTCTGTTTTTAAAAACTCCCTGATCACCCTGCTACAGTAGGTATCAGCAACACCTCGTTTCTCTTTCCCACAGTCACACAATCACATCTGGGAAGAGCCCGGTCCAACTACAGCTTCTTTGCAACCTCAGGGTTCAGTATCGTCAGTAGTTGAGTAGAGAACTTCGTATTAATTTCCTGTAGTCAGATTCATCGCAGTCCAGGGATTTAAACTTGGTTTGGATAAACCCCCCTTTCTGACCCTCAGGCTAAAATTGGTCGGTGTGGCCTAACAATGCGCTAGTGTTTGGTTGTTTGTCAAAGTCCACAGTTGAAGGGTTTATGCAATATTTGTTTATCTTAACCAGATTTAAAAATGGTCCTGCTTTTGTGAAAACGTAAAGAAAATAGAGGTTTGTACATCTCTCCATTTAGCTCTGGTCTGAAATACCCCACAATCATCTATTTACATCTCGTTGCACAATTCTCCTTTAAAATAGTGGCGGGACATTGGTGGGTGTTAGTGTTATCCATACCGTTATATTGTGAAACTCCAAATTATTTATAAGAATAATAATGATGACACACTTTGTAACTTCTGGACATTAAAAGATAAAACTGAACTCTTTTGCCTTTTTGTTTGTCCCAGGACTCCTGTCGTTTGGGGTGAAGGAGTCAGCCTGGGTCAATAAAGTCTTCACTTCAGTCAACGTGCTTGTACTGTTGTTCGTCATAATTTCTGGTTTTGTCAAAGGAGATTCGGCGAACTGGAAGATATCTGAAGAATCCCTCATAAATGTCACCATAGTTAAACGGTAATTTATTAACCCATAACCATTTGTGGTATAGGTTTATATGTGAAGTACATCAATGCAAAGCCATTCCATATCAGATGTACTTTTAGGCTGGTTTTGTGTTGAGTTCAGTTTGATGTTTCAGGAACTTGTCGGTAACGACCAATGTGACCAGTGATTATGGAGTAGGAGGATTTATGCCTTTCGGGTTCAGTGGGACCTTAGCTGGAGCTGCCACCTGCTTTTACGCTTTTGTCGGATTTGACTGCATTGCAACCACAGGTGAGCCACTGAAAGGTTGGGTTATAGTCTGATTTCATCTAAGCTCAATGTAAAGATGTTTGTGCCTCTGCGTGAAACAGGCGAGGAGGTGAGGAACCCTCAGAAAGCCATTCCCATCGGCATCGTGGTGTCGCTGACCGTGTGTTTCCTGGCGTACTTCGGTGTGTCGGCTGCGCTCACACTGATGATGCCTTACTACCTGCTGGACGAGAAGAGCCCTCTGCCCATGGCTTTTGAGTATGTGGGCTGGGGCCCTGCCAAATATGTGGTCGCTGCAGGTTCACTGTGTGCCCTCTCCACCAGGTAAGCTCTGGATCTGCTGTTCTAAAATAGGACTAAATATTTATGGTATTTAGATGCTAGATTTACTGTATCTGAGCAATCAGAATATCTAATATGACTTTAATTTCTGATTGATGTGCTTGCTATACATTGGTGATAATGGTAAAGGAGATGTGGTCAAAGGTTCTGACCACTTATCTCTGTCTATCTGTCTTATTATTGGATTGATTCATTTAGCCTAATGGGACATAATAGGCGCAGTGTTTAAAGGGAGAATGCACAACATTTTCCGGTGATGTCCAATCGCTTTTGTTGGTAATTGTAGCCGGTTGAAGCAAAGCACTTCTCAGTGTGTGCTGTATTCTACGATTAGCGGATTTCTAGCTTCCCATAAGCGATGACTAAATATCCAAGCTAAAGTTGGCTGTCGTTTTTTAATTCCTCCAAGTACGTCACGTTAAATGACAGCACTGGATGCAGGAAAAACAACAGATTTAACAGCAATGAAATCCCGTTCATGGTCCGGCATTCACTGAGGAAGTTATTGCTTCAATCAATTAAATTGGACATACACATAAAATGGCAGGAATTGTCCCTTTTAATTCTATCTGTTTTCAGTACCTGCACGTGTTTGTAATTTACTATGTATAATTCAAGTGTCATATACAGTATACGTAAGGTTGTCTATATATATATATATTTATATATATATTATACTATATAAAATATATTGGTGTTACTTAATTATGTCTTTCTTCCCTGAAGGTTTGCTATATCAGTTTCCTCTCAATTTTCCATCTACAAACCTTTTCACAAACATGAATATCAGTCACTTACTTATCCCATGATCTGCATTCTTTAAATCTGATTAGAACCAATGAAGGTTTCAGATAAGTTAGTTTGAAATTGGTGTTAAGGGTGTAGTCAACGGCATTTACCCTTATAAATTTTACTCCAAACCAGCTCTCAAAACCGATAAAAAACAACTTAATTTGATTAAAAACTTAAAAATGTGACATTAGTGATATGTATTTTAACCTTAAAAGCAGAGTTTGATCTATTCTAATGCATATATCAAAGTTTTGATAACTAATTAGTGATGACTAAATGCCAAAAGGGAAGAAAGACACTTTATTGACTTTATGCATGCTCTGAAGCTTTGATGATTTGATTGTTGGTGTACATGTGTGTGTTTTGGGGCTTTTTGACTAACGTGTTGGTCTTGCATGTCTCTGCTGTCTCATGCAGTCTGCTGGGCTCCATTTTCCCCATGCCTCGTGTAATCTATGCTATGGCACAGGATGGTGTGCTTTTCAAAGTCTTAGCCCGAATCAATCCTAAGACGAAGACCCCACTTATTGCCACTATGACCTCCGGTGTAGTAGCAGGTGAGAGATGGGGAGCAACCAAAGAGATTCCTCCTGCTAATCTTTCTCCACCAATCAACTGTGAAAGACAAAAGCAAAGATGCAAATAATAATTTGGTTACAGAAATTGACCCACCCTTTATCAGTCCTTTTTCAAATGATCCAGTTATTCTGAAGTTTTCCCTCGATATCTACATGTTGTTCTTTCACGGTTGTGCAGGTGTCATGTTTTTTTTTTCCCAGAATGCCCTCTACTTAACCATGAACCCTCTTCTTCCTAGCCTGTTGGGCTCCATGTTCCCTCTGCCACGTATTCTCTTTGCCATGGCACGAGATGGTATTCTGTTCAAATTTATGTCCAAAGTGAGTAAGCGCCAGTCTCCTGTGGCCGCCACCATGGCGGCAGGTACCACTGCGGGTAAGCTCTCGAGGCAAGGACTTTGTTTTGGACGTGATTGAGATTTTGTCTTTGCATGGTGGTGGTGGTGACTGCATGTAAAACTTGGTGATGGTGTTTCCAAAGTGAGAAAACAATACACACAATATTAAGGCAGCCAAGTTCATGGATATGTGTTCACCACCACAGTCCATCTTGTTTTTTAATCACTAAATGTTTTGACAAGAATCTGATATCTTCCACTTCAATACCACTATTGTGTGAATGCTACATTTAAACCTTCAGTGTGGAAGTCACTGCTGCTGGCCAATAATTAATCCAGCAACTAACTTCAAACATTGCAGACAGTTAGCTTAGCTTAGAAAAAAAATACTGGGAACAAGAGTAAAGAGCTAGCTAGGCTGAGAATAGTATCAATCTTATCATCTAACTCTTGGCAAGAAAACGAATACACTGCAAAATATTCCTTGAAATATATCTAGCATGCCCCCCCCC